CTCTTGCTCCGCCACTTGAGTGTTTCCCTGCTGCAACCGTCAATGCCACGGCCACAGGTAAGTACCGGCCCTGCGGGTCTCCCAAACAAGCAAGTACCCCTGCGGGTCACACACACACACTCATGCCAACAAACACTCAGACAGGCACGCAGCTCATCAAGCATGCATACACACAGACTTAGAAAACTCAGCAGAATGCGGGAATCTCAGCAAGGCATCCATTCCATCGGCAGAACTCATAAATCAGCAGTGTTCTCAGTTCGTGTTATGGCGGGTCATTACATTATTGTTTTTTTTTGTCGAGGTTTTGTAATAAGGCCCAGAGGACCGACTGGGGGCGTGTGTAGCGGACCTCGGGTTGGCCTGTGAGACCAGCCCCTTGGCCTGTTCTCACAGGCCTGTGTTGTATTCGGGGTAGGCCAGTCCAGGCCGGTACCTCTGTCGGTACCAGCCAGTCCAGTCCAGTCCCGTCAGTCCGCTGGGGTATACCCCAGCCATTGTCTGTTTTCAGTCTCATTCTTCACTAGCACATTTTGGAGTACGTGCGTTGGAGTCTTGCGTGGGGAGCTGCGTTGTGCCATCTCGCTCCCCCCCTTCTTCCTCCATCTCCGTCTATGTCACTAGCGGAGCACCACTCCTGGTGGGTCCGCTACATTGGTATCGGAGCGGGAACGTTCCCCGCTCCCACCCACCACCCCGTACAGCTGTGCAGGCATACAGCTGAGGAAAACAGCAAAACCCGACATCAGTTTTTTTCGCAGTTTTTGGGCGTTTTTCAGTGAAAACGCAAGGAAAAAGCGGCGCGTGCAGGAGGTGCCACGTGGCGATAAAGAGAGGCGACACGACGAGCGCGTGCGTGCAGGCCAAGGCACGCACACGCGCCACGCGCTGCCCCGCCCCGGCCCGCCCCGCCCCACTGCGCTCCGCTCCCGGATTTATCTTATCAAGAATCGAAAGTTTTTGCTGCCACTGGGGTTTGAACCCAGGCACCTGCCGAGCCATGCGCGTGCATAAGCAACCTCATACCACACTCGCCACAATGTGTCCATGGCTCCATAGCACGCCACACTCGTGTTGAAGAGGTGTCGTGCTGGCTATTTACACGAGCAGTGAGCAACAGCGAAGTTGCTATTTACCCCCCCCCCCGGTGGCTGCTGCTGCCTGTGCACGTGGCCATCTCCACGGCCACGTGGCAGCCTGTGGTGGGACTGAAGACCCCCCTGCTTAGGGGGCTGCTCTACAGTGGAGAGGGCCTGCTCACACAGCAGACCCTACATCTACACATCTGCAGAAGTGCTGCTGGGGGCTGATCAAGATCTCAGCCCCCTCTCTCCTCCAACTGGCTGCTGCAGCAAAGACCAAGACCCTCCTGGTCTTGGTGTACCTTGTGCCCTTGGAGACACCAAGGG